CGCTCTCTCTCTCTTTCTTTCTCTTTCTCTCTCTCTCTCTTTCTCTCTCTCTCTTTCTCCCTCTCTCTAACTCTCTCCCTCTCTCTCTTTCTCTCTCTCTCACTCTCTCTCTCTCTCTCTCTCTCTCTCTCTGAAAATGCTCTCTCTCTCTCTCTCTCTCAAACTGTGCGCGCGCGTGAGAGAGAGAGAGAGAGAGAGTGCCCGCCCATCGCTGCCCTCTGGGCCTCTGCTGCTATCTGTCTCTCTCTCTCTCTCTCTCGCACGCGCGCGCTCGTGCATGGGCATCCACGCAAGAGAGAGAGAGAGAGAGAGATCCTTCTGTGTCGTAGAGGGAACAAACTGTGCGCGCGTGAGAGAGAGAGAGAGAGAGAGGGTCCCCGCCCATCGCTGCCCTCTGGGCCTCTGCTGCTCTCTCTCTCTCTCTCTCTCTCTCTCTCTCTCTCTCTCTCTCTCTCTCTCTCTCTCTCTCCCTTTCTGTGTCGTAGAGGGAACAACCTCTACCAAAGGCCAGGTGGTTGTGGACGGTAGCGACAAAACGTCATTAAAAAAACCTATTTTCAGAAGGAAAATAACCTGCAGTAACTCCGCCCAAATCTGCATTGCCGCGAGCTTAGGGGTCGTCACTTTTGGTCGAATGCCAGAAAATAAGGGTCAAAAGTCTCGTCCCAATCTGTGAAATGTCTGAGAAAATGCCTAAATGTCACAGGCTGTGTCCTGTACCCGTGCTGGATTTCAGGCCCAAAGTCACAGTTAACCCGCTGGTCAGCCACGTCCGTTGATCAGATGCACATTATTAGTTGTCTGCTTGTATCCAGAAGTATCTGGTCCAAGTGGGACATGTGGGACACCTACAACTTCGCTGCATCCAGGCCATTGGCTTCCGATTCATCTGGGCCATCAACCCAAGGAGACCTGAGGCTGGTCAACGTGAGGTACCACTATAAAGTAGACCCAGCACCTGCGTGGAAATTCTGCCGTGCGCTTGCTTGTGGCCAAGTGCTTCACCGTAAGGCTGCTGGAGATCATGCTGGCACCGTTGCTGCTGGGAGGGTGCCAGCATCAGGGGAGATTCTGCTCGAACGGCCGCCATAGCTATAGACAATGTGCATAGGCTGGGCGAAGAGAGGGATCGGGGCTGTGAGACTGTAGGAGGTTGGGGGGAAGCTTACCAGAAGAACTTACCTGGCGACATCATGCTGTTCTCCTCCTCCTCCTCCTCCGTCTCTTCATCCTTCTCCTCCTCCTCCTCCTCCTTCTCCTCCTCCTTCCCCTCCTTCTCCTCCTTCTCCTCCTCTTGCTTCGTCTTC